GGTAATCAAGGAGTCTGACGGCACACTGATTCAAATTCAGGAACGTCGTCTTGAACGTTGAGCGGAACATTTTAAGGCACAGTTTAGCTGGTACCCTTTGACACAAGACTTTCCCCCATTCGATTCAACTATGCAAATACTGTCAGTTGACATCAGTCCTCCATCTGANAGGATGGAGGCTCAGCCTTGGTTTTGGAGTTAACAAAACTCTTGGGTTCAGTGTGCTAAAAGGAAGAGGTTCCAACTGAATGGTGTGAATTAGTGAGCATACCGATTTACAAGAAAGGTGACAGATCCTCTTGTGAAAACCACAGAGGAATTAGTTTAATCAATATTGCCTCTAAACTTCTCGCCGGTATCATACTCCGTCGATTGTCTGCCGCACGTGAACGGTGTACGCGTGAGAACCAGGCCGGTTTCAGACCTGGTCAAGGCTGTATTGACCACATCTTCACACTTCGTCAAATTCTAGAACATAAACACTCCTTTCGTAGACCCACCATTTTTATTTTCCTCGATCTAAAGTCGGCTTTCGACACAGTCGACCGCTCTAAACTCTGGCGCTGCCTTTCGCTGAAGGGAGTGTCCGAGAATTGTATTTCAACTATTACAATCCCTCTACAATAATAGCCGAAGCCGAGTTCGAGCTTACGGCACTTTTTCACTCGAGTTCGCCACGGAAAGTGGTGTTCGACAGGGTTGCCCTCTTTCTCTTTTTCTATTCAACTTTGTCATAGATTTAATTCTTGAAACAGCCCTATCCACATGCAGGGGGTAGCGGTATCGATTTACTTCCGTGTGGCAGACTGTCTGATCTAGAGTATGCAGACGACATTGTGCTACTGAGTGAAGATCCAGGTAAGTTGCAAGCCTTTCTGGATAGTTTGAGTGCTAGTGTTGCCATGTTCGGTGTGTGTTTTACACCTTCAAAGTGTAAAATGCTACTACAAGATTGGGTTGATCCAGCCCCCAGTGTCACCATAACTGGGGAAGTAGTAGAGGAAGTAGACACATATTGCTATCTAGGCAGCTATATCTCACCCGGCGGACGCATCAAAGATGAAGTGTCGGCGCGCACACAAAAGGCTCGATTGGTATTTGCCAACTTGAGACATTTGTGGCGCCGTCGCGACATTCGGTTGTCTGTGAAGGGTCGAGTGTATGCTGCAGCAGTTCGGCCAGTCCTGCTCTACGGTGCAGAGACTTGGCCACTAAGGGAACAGGATAAAAATAGATTGTCGATGTTCGAACACCGCTGTCTACATAGCATTGCACGTGTCTGGTGGAGTAACCGGACTAGCAATGCTGAGGTTAGGCGTAGAGTTTTAGGCAGTCGCGGTCGTCCACTAGAGCAAGTGATCGACCTCCATAGATTACGCTGGTTGGGACATGTGCTACGCATGTCACCAGATGGGTTGCCACGGCGAACGATGTTTGCCGAGGCAGGCAGCGATTGGAAAAAAACGATGGGGGGTCAAGCTAAGACCTGGTACGAGGGTATGAAAACCCTAGCAGGAGACTAGGTCACATAGGCCCCGTTAAGCTCCCTGGCTGGGGACCTCGGGATGATGGACACCGATGGTTAGCTACGCTGAGTGATATGGCTGGGTATCGCAAACAGTGGCGCTCGTGCGTCCACTCGTTATTTTCCTAACACCACTCTATATGTATTCCCCATCTTCCGCTTAAATTTGCTTCGACATTCCAATCTTCATTTCGCTCTTTTATCCAAATGGGCAACCAAAACCGGCGCACGAAAGTGCATGGTTACTGGTTGTAAAAACTGAACTGTGAATGTAATGGCTTGAGAATGAACTCACTGAAAACATATTATTTTTTTGAGGTTTTTCTAATATTAAAATAATAGTTATATGGTTCATCACGACGCGATCTCGTGTTGTGTACTAATCTACACAAAATGGAATTTTCCAGGCGTTTGCTGTTATTTGTATCTTCACCTTAGGCGCATTACTATTGCTTAGGTCTCATTTTCCTCCCGGACTAATATTATTCAATTTCATCTATTTTAGCTTTCAACCGTTGTGGTCCTGATGCATTATGTCATTGAGTGCTTTAAACGGCAAGCAGAAGCGTCGTTGTACTGGATTTCAGCTCACCGAGGATGAGATTCACAATTTTATTGCACACACCGGAGATGGCGAAGATGATAGTGAAAGTGATTGGGATGATCTGGGCGAGGCCGACCTGTCACAATTTCTGTCCACTGCACACGGTGTCACACCAACTATTGCAGAGAAGCCGGTGGAGTCTGTATCAGGAACTCTAGCTTCTGCCATTGTGCCAAAATCATCTGTACGAACAGGTTGGTCATCTGGTTCATCAGCACTTCGATGTTGTTAGTTTTAATAATACTTATGTATGTAATCTGTGAATGGCTTGAGAAGGAATTACTGGAAACAATTGTTCCGCCAAATAGTGTTTACTAAGTGTTAGTGGTTAATGTTACTATTTATTACAGGCATTATTTCATGTGAGTAATGAAAAATTTGGCTGAATTTCAAATGGGAATCCGTCGTGTATATAGCGAATGAAGCGTGAACTGAAAAGCTAGGAAGCACTGGACAGCTGTTTCGACCTGGTTGGATCTTAGCAGTGCGAATCCATATACCCAGCTGGGGATCGAACCCGGGACTTCATAGACAGAATGCAAGCGTGCTACCCACTCCGCCACCGGGCAGCCGATCAGACGGTTTTTATTTTCCATGAAGTCCCGGGTTCGATCCCCCAGTTGGGTTGATGGATTCACTCTGCTGATGAAAGCCAACCAGGTCGAAACAGCTGTCCAATGTTTCCTAGCCTTTCAGTTCACGCTTCGTTTGCTATATACACGACGGATTCCCATTTGAAAGGTATTATTATTTGGGATGGAAATGGTAATGCAGTATCGATAATGAGATCGCATTGAAGAATTTTCTTGACACCCCTTCTCAATGTATTTTGGTTGTCCGAAACTTTCAATTGAGCAGTCTAACCCACAAATGTTGACTTGCTTATATTGGGGAAACGGGGACCAATTTTTTAAACCATGCGCCCTCAGAAGGGTCTCACGCATCCATCGGCCATGGTGTGCGGGACAATTGAAGGCCAGTTCGTGAGTCTGTCAGATGGTTCAAAGTCGTTTCAGCCTCACTCATTGAATTATCGTGAATCGCCGCCGTCGTACTGCGTGATAAAATCGAACCGATTTCGCTTATCGGGACCTAGCTGAAACTATATACGAATGATGAATACATTATAGGATTCATAACAATTAGATCTGTTCAGTGAAACAATAACAATAATACCTCGAGTGCATTCCAAATGTACCCTCATGCTTCTAACTACCAATTTGAACAAGAAATAGAAAGACGCGAGTGTTCTAATGGTGTCATGTCGAACCACCGGGATAATTATTCACACTAGCACACATTTCTGTTAACCTCTTTCTGCTGACTTGGCAACTAAGAACAACACGTCACACTGGATATACTTGATGCACGCATTACTTGTTCTAAGCAGCGGTTTTCAATCAGACTAATCTGTGCTAATTCGCTCTAGTGAACTGCCTACCCG